GGGGGGGGGGGGGGAAATACTTAAAGGGCAAGTTTATTAAAAGTGAACTTGTCCTGCCCATTCTCTGACCCAGTTATACTCACCTTTGCATTACTCCTCTAATACTCCTTGTTCCATCATAGTCACTTCAAAATGCATAGAGTTGGCTCTGTGTTGCAGCTCACACAGAGGTGATGATATCACCCCCTCCGTGATATAGCAATGTTCAGGCCTGGTAATTGGCTGACATGTTCTACCATACCCAGAAGCATCGGGTTTGTTGTGTCTTTAATGGAAGTATGGAGCGGCAAGGTAGCACTGAGAAAGTATCAGTGAGGTGGGGTGGTGGACTTCCTCATGTCGACCTGAATGAGCAAAGTGGAAGCGTCTCTTTAAGCTGATCCATTTGGCTATAAATGAACTTTCATTACAAAATATTCACAATGTTCTAGAGTATACCTTTAAATAATGACATCCTGTTAATGTACGTATTTCCAAGCTGTTAGACTGCTGCATGCAATACCTATAACATTCAGAGAATCCTGAGAGCTATGATAACATCCGTGGGAATTCCATGTACCTTAAGGCAGTTCAACTTAAAACCTCGGACCGTGTAATTCGCATGTACTAGCCGATAATTAATGTGTAATTTGCATTTTAGTTCCAGCTGCAAATGTTTGACATCGTGTGTACATCAACCTGGGCCAATCGTGACAAGTGCTGTGAGCTACCTGCAATGGTAAGCTTGTAATACCTCTTCCTTTCCTCTGAATATGTGCTGATTGTACCGTCCATCCCTGCTTATTCTTTATAGGTGGTACTTGTACAAGAGTTGATTAGTGCCTCCCACTTAAGTTTGTTTAATATCACTGCAGTGAGAGACCAGGCACACACAGACACCCCCGAGGTTGTGATACAAGCTGTTCTACTTTATTGTTGCACAGCCAGGTTTTTATCTTATACAATTGTTTATATATATGTACTGTACATTAAAGGCAAACTAGGAAATGAAGTTGCAGTTCAGCACCTCCACCATCCTGTTGGATCAATATCTTGATCTGTAGTTGTTGGCCTCATATGGGCAGACCATACACAGGAAGACTTCCAGCAGACAAGGTCTACAAGGATCTTGATTAGCCACCACCCAGTGCATGTATGGACATCGCCAACACACTCCTAGGGATTCACTGACATTCAGCATTTTCCAGAATTAGAACTTAATAACACACTGTATTTGCTTGTGAAGCCCTCTTTGGGCGGCACGTTTTTGTTATAACTGCCAGGTATGTGCATATAGTTTTTCCTGACATTTAGGGTTACTTCAAATGGGCTGTAAATACAGGAAGCCGTCCATCATCCATGTTTATTCCAATACCACATAGGCAAGTTTAAATTGTCTTCTCAGCAGGAAGGAAAGGGGGTTGCTGTTGAGGGGCACTTGGAAGTTTTGGAAAACACCCACAAAGCTCCACTGTGAACTAGACTTAATCAGAAAGCTTCTGGTAATTTTCCATCGTAAATATTGTGTGGACAGGTAGTAATGTTATAACAATCTCTCTATCCAATCCTAGTGCACTTATAAGCAGTCTAGATTATTGCCTCCTCTGTAGACTATAAATGATGTAGAGTCAGTTTTTCCAGCTTGGCTGTCAAACAGCTTGGGTGATTCCCAAGGCGTGCCAGAGAGGAAACTGCTGGTGCTCTCCAAATAGCTGAATTAGCATTGAGGAATCATCATCCTCATCATTAGCATTGAGGAATCATGAGATGGCATATTCCCTAGAGCTAATAAACTAGCAAGCAGTGGCTGGAGCACAAAGGTCCCCTAGCTGTGTTGCTGAACTGCAGAAGAGAAAATTCAGGTCACAAGGCTGGCCGGGCTGTCTAGCAGTGTAAATTTCAGGACTGGATCGGCTCGAGTTTGGCTGTATACATCCCTGAATTAGCTGGGTGGAATTTGTGATAGCAATCTAAAATTACACCTTGCAATGAGATAATAAGATTTGGAAAACTTGTCACTTGGATAAATGTATCTACAGACCTCGAGGTTTCTTCACTATCCACTATTTAATGGAGCCCTCGGGAAGCCTTGATTCCAGGGCCTTGGTGTGTAATGGATACTTCTAGTTCTATTAGCTGCCTTCCATCCTTATCCACTTCTCCAACATTTAGGTTGAAAATATAATATTTTCATATTGTTACCTTTTTCCAAGTAAAGGCTTTACCTATAGCCAGCTTTTATGACTGGCACTCATTTGTTTGGCATAAAAATATGAGAACGGCAGCGGAGGCATCTAGTGCGCTGTACTTCTCAGGTTTATGTATGTGTGTGCGTCAGTACCTACATCCAAGCCATGAGAAATTCCATCTGACAGAAAGGAATTTTTTCACACATACCAAAGTTGACATTTGATGCATTTTAGGGATACACCCATCCTTAAAGTGTAACTGCGCCTTTGCTGCAGTCAGACTTATATCAGAGCACCCTGTGCCCCCAGCCCGCCTCCTGGGCTTATACTCACCTGTCTCGTATCCAGCTAGATATAACTTACTAGATTGCCCAGCTGCTTGTCAAACCTTTTCCTAGCCAGTCTCAAACGCGGTCTTGGCAATCTTATTCATTGCCATGGAGAATTAGTCTGGAATACAAGTTTGTTTTCGGCCATGAATACTTTTGACAAGTGCCTGGGTGACCTACTCAGTGAAACCTAGCTGGATTGGCCACAAGTAGGAGGCAAGAAGTGCTCTGAGATAAGTGTAACTGCACCCAACGTTACACTTTAAAGGAAACCTGTTTTGAGACAAATGTGGGGGCTGCCATTGCTGACCTCCTTCTGAAAATATAAGGTGTCTGGCTGCGTCTGGAGCACTGACATGGAAACTAAAAGAACCATTAATATATTTGTTTTTGTATCTGAAATGACCACACTGTGGGCATAAATATTACAAAATAATTTTCTGAAATTAAGTAAACAACGTATAGCTTTTCCATTGCTACATTGACACACATGCAGACACGCTTAAAGTTTTGTTGTTATAAGTGGTCGATCATTGGCTGCAGTCATTGTTTGGCCATCAATTTTGAACCCGGCTCCTTTCGATAAAAGTTCAATGAAAAATCAACTTGTGACAAGCAACATGGTTCCAGCAAGGCCACCCATAGATTGGCCCATTCAGGATACGACCGAAATGTAATCAGTGTATAGCAAGTTTATGTTGCCTTCAAGATTATGACGCTTCACTCATCCAGCCGGTGAGGGAGCAATAGATGCAAGCAGACGAGATTTTTAAAAAAATCTTCCAAATATCTGCCTTTTCTGCTGAGAAAATTATGACACCTATTGTACCTCTTACTGTTACTTCAGTATCTAATCAGCATCAATCAAATATTAGCAGCTAAAGTCTTTCTTTGCTGCAACTGTTTGGCCACAATTCACACGGTAGGGAGTGCAGGAGAAGTTTCTCAAAGCTGCACATTGGGCAGGTATGCCATCTGTGATTGGATTGTACCACCAATGCTAGCCGCAGGGCTTGGTCTGAGTTGAGGAGATAAACCCTCCTGTAAATACACTATACCACCATGCCAGCCACAGAGCTTGGTCTGAATTGGGGAGATCAACCCTTCTGTAAATAGACTATACCAGCATGCTAGTCACATGGCTTGGTCTGAGTTGGGGAGATCAACCCTTCTGTAAGTAGACTATACCACCATGCTAGCCACAGAGCTTGGTCTGAGTTGGGGAGATCAACCCTTCTGTAAATAGACTATACCAGCATGCTAGTCATAGAGCTTGGTCTGAATTGGGGAGATCAACCATCCTGTAAATAAACTACACCACCATTCTAGTCACAGGGCTTGCTCTGAGTGATAGAATTCACCCCACCTGCGAATAGAATATACCATCAATGCAAATCACAAGACTTGATCTAAGAGGAAGAGTTCACCAATTTGCGATTGGACTATATCATTAACATTATGGGAGTGTTTGGGAGCAAGAAGGTGGAAATAGTCAAAGATCTTTGTCTGAATGGGGGAGCTTATCCCATATGTGATTAGACTATAGCACCAATGCTAATCACAGGACTTGGTCTGAGAGGAAAAGCTCACCCATCTGTGACTGGACTATACCAGCAAAACAGTGGGGGAGAGGTGACTTAGGGCAATTAAAAGGATCTAGTCACTAGGCTCGGTCCAAGTGGGGGCACTCCCTCATTTGTGATTGGACTTTACCACCAACAACATAAGGGGTAGGTGTTGCAGGCTTTGGGATGCACAGCACATCAAAGGACTGAACAACACTTTGGTCTTCTGTATATTAACTACAATATTATGTTATTTAGATGTGTCTGTATTTCAGTTTCTCATTAGTTGTATCCATGTCCATACTTCTTAACTACATTCCTGTTTTCTCTTACAGAGAGATGAAGCCACCTGTCCTCCTCTTCCAAATTCCTGCTCCTGCGCCGAGGAGAACAAAGGATTACCCGGGCCCCCAGGACCTCCGGTATGATGTGTCACTAATTGTGCTCAGACATGCAAATGCTTGCAGCGCCGTGACTTGTTCTAGTGCTGAAGTTACAATTCAATACATATAACACATGGGAGGTTCCATTGTCTTTCTATCACTGTGTAACTGGCTCTGTTGTTACACCTGGGCTGTAGACTCTCTGCATGTTTGGAATCTGCCTCGTTTCCTGTCTGTATATTGACTTGCCAAACTAAATAACAGATGACGGGGAACTTGGAAACTTTTCTGACATAATGCACACCTTCAATGTATAACAAATTCAAATATGCAACAGACACAGGATAAGCCAAGCAAGCCACGAACAGGTCCAACTACCACTCGGCCTGCGTTATCTTTGAAGCAAAGGCCAGTAATGTTAGTGGAAAGTTCTACAAAGCGGCCTAAAAGGAAACAAGTGAGGCTACATAGTGAAATATGTTCACAATGATCTACAGCAGAATTGGCCATCCATTGTGAAGACCAAAATAAGTGCTGATCCTCCCTTATCATATGAGTGCTAAGCAGCCACGTAGGAGCCACGCACATAAATGTATTTATGTCTTTTGGTTGAACGTGATTGGCATTCTTCTAGCAGCCTAACCTACTATGTGCCAGTGGAGCGTTTATACGACTGCGTTTTTCATCCTGCCTTTTGATATCCAGGCAGATATCTGTTGGCTTTGGAAGTCTGCACATTGGCAGATGACTAACAGAGATGAGTTAATTTTTACTGCCATTACTTCATAACTATATGCTGAGTAGGCACTAGTAGGTTTGGGCTTTGGGGCAAGAGAAGAAGCCCTGGCTACAGGACTAAATTTGGGGAAAGATCTCATAGGCTGGTCACCAGGAAACCCAAAAAAATTTTTTTACTACTTTTTATTTAATTTTTATTATTTCTTATTTAATTTCTATTTTTTTTATATTTTTTTTTACCATTGGGGGGCTTCGGAGAAATATTGGGGGTCTAGGCAGCCCCCTGATATTTCCCTTTTAAAATAGAAAAAGAAAATGAGGACACAAAGTCTCTGTTCTAAATGGGATGTTTCATTCCACAGAGGCTTCCCATTCATTCAGAAAATATTTACTATCAAGCAGTTTAGGAATGGGGAGGAGCCTCTGTAGAGAGTGCTTCTCCCCATTCATAAACTCATGAATGAACATCCTGTTCATTCATAACTGGGGACACATTGTGCTATGTGTCCCCACTTATTTACAAACACTGGAGTGATCAGCTGATCTCTCCAGTGTTTGTCCTGCACAAAGGATTGGTACATATTAGACTTGTGCGCCGTCAAAAAATTCGTTCTGTTTCGTTTCGTTTCGGAATATCCGTTATTTCGTATTTCGTAATTTGTAACTGAACTCAATTCGGATTCGTACGAAATACAAATTTTCGTTAGTGGCGGTTATATTTTCGTAACTTTACGAACATTCGTTATGATGAAGTTAAAAAGCAAAATACCTTTGTTAATATTGGAGTGGTAGTTGTTTTTTTATCCGAAATACAAATTCCGTTAACGGATTCCGTATTCCGAATTCCGTATTTTGGACTTTAAAAAAAACTACCATCAACTCCAATATAAATGTACTTTGCTTTTTACCTTCAATATAACGAATGTTCGTAATGGAACGAAAATACGTCAACGGAATTTCGTATTTCCTGCCTGTATTTGTAATGCAACTCTCAGCAGTAAAAAAGGAACCCCCTCAGCCGCCGGGGGGGGGGGGGGGAGGAGCTGCTGCAACAGCAGCATGTGCGGTGAGGAGAGAGAGAGCCACTGGCTGTCAGATCCAGGCCGAGCGGCTCTCTCTCTCTTCCCTCACCGCTCGGCATGCTGCTGTGATAGCGGCTCCCTCCTCCGCCCATCCCCCCCCACCAACTGCAGCTCCAGTTTTCCTCGGATCCCCATCTCCGCTGCATACATATCGAGGAGAGCAGCGAGGATCCAGAGAAGACAGGACATCGCAATCTAACAGTGATCGCTACGAGATCGACTGGCAGATTGCGATCGACCTAATGGGCAGCCCTGGGTTAGACGTTTTGACAGGATTTGATGGCATCCTTTGTCTCCACTGAGGAGATTCACCTTCTGATTTTATCCTGGTGACCACTTCCCTCACCGAATGTGAGGAAAAACCCAACATTTTGGCACAGGAACAGTAATGGAGGGGAAATATTGCAATGGGGACCCTTGTTTCAGTGACAGCTGTCTTGGAGAGATTTCCTCTCATTTATTTTGTTTTCGAGACAGGAAGTAAAAGAAAATCTCTCCAATCAGATAAAGAAGGCAAACAAAACTTGAGAGGGGTTTTAACCATTCCCTACCATCTCCAAAAAGATACATAAAAGTTTTGGCTTAATATATCCTTGAAGCTTTCCCAGTTTTACTTTTACAGTTTTGAAAAGTGTAGACTTCTCTAATTAGATGATTTTAATTATATTTTATCTGTTTATTATGTTGGCTCTCTTATAATGTTTCTAACTCTTTTTAGGGTGGTGCTGGTATGAGAGGACCCAAAGGAGCACAAGGGGATCAAGGGTCATCGGTATGTATTTTGTGTGGTTTTTAAATATTTATATATTGGATTTCATGGCTGTTTTTTTATTAATTTATTTGTTGCTAATAATTCCAGTAATAATTTCCAGCATTTAGGTTGGGTTCACACCTGAGCGTATTTTTTCTGCTCGGTTTTTAGCACGTTTTTCCGTTCAGTGAAACGCTGGCAGTATGATTTTTTTTATATTTTTTCCCTTATTTTCTCTATTTAAAAAAAAATTTTGTTCACTTTCAAACTTCCCGCCGGCTCCGCCCCCTTGCGACGGAACCCGGAAGTCGGCAGCCGCGGGAGGACACAGCTGGGATCGCGGACAAGGTAAGACCTGTACGCTGTATTCCCGAGTGTGGCTCGGGGTTACCGTTTTGTTAACCCTGATCCACATTCGGGAATACCAATGGAAACGCGCGGAAAAACGCCCCAAAGGAGTTCCTGTACTTCTTTGGGCGTAGGGCGTTTTTCAGCGCGTTCCTACGCGCTGCAAAACGCCCAGGTGGGAACCATGCCCATAGGCAATTATTGGTTTTCACATGTTGAGCGTTTTACAACGCGTGGGAACCAGGCCTTAGTGAACAAAGTAACTATTGTGAAATACAACACTAGGCTATATGGGTGATGTTTATCTAGTGATGGATTACCACTAGAGCAGTGGTTCTCAACCTATGTAACCTCAGGACCTACATTTGTCCTTGGTCATTAAGTCGTGACCGAGGTCGCACTGCAATGGAACATATGGTATTGCAGTACCCCGCGTTCCGATGCGGGTGATCGAACTGTGGGAGGGAGGTGCATTTGGGCTGCCATTAAAATTAATGGCAATGCAACACACCATGCCACGCTGTCCTACAGAAAACGAATATATTTGACAATGTTCAGCACTTCCCTCATCTACAAATCATAGTGGGTGTTCTGTAGTTTACAGACGTAACCTGGGCAGGGCTGATAGATTCCTTGACATTTCAGTGACATTTGTCAGTGTAGTACAGTTACAAGCTTACTGGATTTCTAGCAGGATCAGGTATTTTTTTCCTTTATCAAACAGATAGAACAAAACATTGTCAATGGCATAATCAAAAGAACAAAGAAATAGAAGTTCATTGATAAGGTTTAAATACATTTTAGGTGTTGAAACTTGTTTTCAAAAATGTCTCTCCTTAAAGTGTAGCTAAAGCAAATGTTTTTTAGTTTTGGATAAAATATGCAATCTGTGAAACCCTCTGGCATTTTTTTTGCCTTTATTCCCACTGAGGAACGAACCATCTCTATGTCTCCCGATGGCTATTGCTAATGGGACAGAAAGTGATGTAAAATCAGTAATGGAATAAATGTGAGATCTTCCAATGATGACATGTGTTCCTCTGACAAGCTCACATTTTGGCTTTAGATATACTTTTGCCTTACTTTTACCAATTATTGTTCATTGTTAGCCATAATGTTTCCTCTGTAGGCTTGTGTTATACATTGTTCCTTCATTATGATAATCATTGTTTGTCGGTTTAGCATTTACTAGTTTTCTCCTTTCTAGGTTCTTTCAGGTCATTCTTTCTTACATTGGATGATTATGGATCATTTTCCTTGAGCCTTAGCTAGAGTGTGTCTGTTGTTTACAGCAAACTGCTTTTGTATGTTCACCATTGTCAATTATTTGTCATCTTAAAGTGGACCTGAACTATGGAATCTATGCCCAAAAAAAAGGCAAGCACAGGATGAAGGACTACACTCCAGTATTGCCTGTGGTTTCTCAGTAGCTGATCTTGTCCCCTTTACTGACTTATCATGCTTTGTTTCTCTGTGTGGAGGCAGCCATCTTGGTAGAGAAGCAATCCTCATGTCAGAGCTGCCCTCTAGTGACTGGTAATTTGATGACTAGTGGTGTAATGATCAAGACACAGCGGAAGAGGAAGCACAGATGCACAGAGTGAAGCAGAAGCAGGGACATACATGCAGTGCAAGTCCTCTGACACAGTTTCCTTTCCAGCAAGGAGAACAGTGAACGGCACAGAAGTGACATCACCAAATCTTACTCCAAATCTGGTGAGATTAGCAGTCAGAGGTAGCAGTGCCTTAGATAATCTCACACTGCAGATATAGTATAGCTATGAGGCTGTGTGTATAGAAGTGTCGGGGTACAGGAAGTGCACTGCTATTTGTAAGGAGGAATTGAAGACCAAATGTAGATTTTTATGGTACTGCTTGGGGACAGTAAACATTTTTAGATGTTCCTCTGTAGTATAGCAAATCTTCACTTTTTGAGTTCAGGTCCATTTTAAGTTCTATAAAGGACTGTAATTAATATTTCTAATCTTATTTTCTCCTTTTCAATACTCAGTTGAGAATGCAGTTGATGGTAATAATGACAATTTGAATATTGATTCCACTTTATAGGGGCCAGATGGACTGCAAGGCCCAATAGGCCCAGCTGGAGCTCAGGGACCACCTGGACCACAGGGACCAAGTGGACATTCCATTCAGGGACCATCTGTAAGAATGTTTTTGTCTTCCTTTATTGATATAAGAATCTTTAGAATGATGAGCATTTTTACGGGGTAAGAGAAAAGTCTTGTGCCGCAGAGGGTGGAGCTTAATAGGTGGGTTGTGTTCATGACAGAATGGAGCAAATAGCAGTCAATGACAGTCTGTTGGCCAAATGTTGGACATGACTATCCTAAACATTTTAAATGAAGACATACCTGAAAAGATCTCAGTAAATACTCACCCTTTCTGCTGCCTGTGCTGCCAAACTCTGATGCAGTGCAGAGAAATCTTCTGCTAAATTCCGAAGAGAAAGACTTTAGGCAGTGTCGATCTATTGGGTCCTACCCCCCTCCCGCTGGTTATGCCTGCTGACATCCTGGCTTCATTTAAAGGTATACCTTTATTTAAAATCTTTACTATAGAGACAGAGTTGCTTTAAGAAGGCCATTATCAGCTTGTTTTAAGGTACTACTGTCCAAGGTTCTAGCTGGGCCCCCTGAACATTCATTGGGCCCTAGATTCCTGCCTAGGTTGCTTTGTTGATCCAACTCTGTGAAACCCTATCATATTTTTTTTTACCATCTATGTCCTAGGATAATCTTCACTTTTATACCCATTGCCCAGTATATATGCAATGGACTTCTAGCAGGGTATAGCCTTCTTAGAATAGAATATATTCACATGTCTCATTTCATCACATATCCCAAAAAATAAGAGGATTATTCCTCATGTAATGCCACCTTTATGCCCCAATAGCCAACTGCTGATGTATAGTGTAGATACAGAAAACAAATATAGAGTCATTTATTACAACCTGTATACAGCTGTTTTAGACTTTTTGGCCATCATCAGTGTAATGTATGGAAACCATGCCTTCTGTGGAGTAGGGCTTGGGATGAGAAGGTATAACCATGAAGGTTATGGTGAGACAGACTAAAGGAATCAAATAGCCCTCCAACTGAATCGGTGTATAGCATAGTAGAGTCTTCTTAGAACAAAGGTATTCAAGTGGCTCATTTGATCCTTATTTTCAAGATAGTGGGTCCTTATTTCAAGATAGTGGGTGGAGCCATGCAAATCATTTGTTCATGCTCCAATAGCCAACTGCATCAGAAAAATCCTGAACAATCATATTGCAATGGTTACAATAGAAACATAATTTGAGGTTTTAGATGTTCTGGATCAATAGTCCCTCAGCACAGTGTCAGTGAGGTTAGAGGTTTACCATACGGCTATATTCCTGTTAGTTTAAACCTACTGTATATAACCTTGCTGCTCTCAAAATTGTCTGTATTTATTAGGGTCCTCCTGGTGTAAAAGGAGATAAAGGAGAAGCTGGAAATCAAGGAAATCAGGTAAACTGCTAGAGTTTTATACATTTATGAATAAACTCTGTTTCATAAATGCACTATTATTATTATTATTATTATTATTATTGTAGCGCTCACCCCCGAAGGAGCCACCAAAATAACCTGGGTCAGCTATAGCCTGTCTAGGGATTTTTTTAACCAGCTGCCCCATTAGCATTAATCGCCCTCTTCTAGTGCCCACAGAGCTGATATCCAGACCAGAAGTATGATCCTGAAGACCTTTATTAACATCTTCACTCTGGAAGAGAGGGTATAGGGGCCTACACATCCAGAGTAGAACAGACACAGACTCCAGAATCATCCGGTCTCTTTTAGTGTTTCAATGTAGATCCATTTGCAGTACAGTTGAATAGTGATAGGTACAGAATCCTCAATAGGAAAGACACCAGACCTGCTCCTGAGGTAATCTATATTCGAGGCACTTCCAGCAGCCATCGGCTTCCCTGTTAGAAGCAGAGGCCTCCTCCAGGCTTGAGGCCTAACAGAGCATTTTCCATATTTAGGCGTTCCCACCTCCCAGGCCTCAGGCCTAGCCTGGGGGCAGGCTGGACAGCACCCCAGCCAGGAGTAATCCATTGATGGAACCTGACTGAGCACATGGCAATTCCCTGGAGTATATATGCCCTGTCCTAACATGCAACGCTGGCCTTCAGAGCCCCAGCGATTGGCAGGTGGACTGCACACACACTCACAGTGACCCTAATTGGCTGTCCCACACTGTAGCAGAGTCACACTCCACTCAGGCCAGTACAATTAATGACAGAACACCTGGAATTAACCAGATAAATGCCAACTATAATACAGCCAGACTGACTACAGCCCTGGCAATCACTGCATTTCTAGTAGCAACCTCACAAACGGTAATGGGGGCTACATTATTATTATGTCCTGGAAGGCATGTACACTATGTAGATAAACCTTTGTGGACAACTTACCATACCCTTCTGCACTATGGTAAAAAGTATGTGGATACCCCACCAAATAATTGTCCAAGGGTGTTTCCAGTGAAGGGTACTGTTAATGGTACAACATAAAAAGTCATTTTAGACTATTGTGCTCTTCCAACCATGTGACAGTTTAGAGAAGAACCTTTTCTGTTCCAGAATGACTTTGCTTCTGTGCACAGACTCCAGCTGCATAAATACATGGATGGATTTGGAAAAGTTTAATGTGAAGCGGTTTGAGTTGCCTGCACAGAGCCTTGATCTCAACCCTACTGAACAGCTTATGGGTGAATTGAGATGCTGATTTCAAGCCAGGTCTTCTCATCCAATGTCCAAGTCTTCTCATTCAACATCAGTACTTTACCTCACAAATGCTCTTTTGAAAGAATAGGCACAAAGGCGCCACAGACACGCTCCAAAATATTGTGGAAAATATTCCATGAAAGTGGAGGTTGTTATAGAGGTAAAGAGAGGAGAGCAACTCCATAATATTGCCCATTGTTTTGGAATGGAGTGTCCAGCAAGCTCATTTAGATGTGATGGTCAGCTGTCCACAAACGTTTTTTCCATATAGTGCCCGTAACTTATTAGCTACATTGAGCAATAGTGCAGATCACACTTTCTCTGCCCCATCTACTACACAGAGTCTGCCAAGGCATTCTGCAAATGCTTACAATGCCGCATAGTGATCTAGTATATCTACTGGAGATAATGGAATGTTTGCTCGTTACATAACTGATCATGACTTAGTTAAGGTAATTTTGTTATTTTAACCAGGCACAGCTAGGGTGCTGTTAGGACTTGTTGTTTGGATTTTCCTAACATTCACTGATATCAGTGCATTGCCAAGCAAGAAAATGCATGTATAAAGTATACGGTATGTTGAAAGATTAACCTAATATTTTTTTTTCTGTAGGGACTTCCTGGCCAACCAGGGTCTCCTGGAATAGAAGGACCTACGGGACAAAGGGTGAGCTATTGCATGAATAACTATCACACTCTTTTAATTATGCATTAAGCATTGAGACATGTTGTCCCCCCAAAGTCTGCTGCCTACATTTATCCTAGATAGGGGTCTGGTATAGATTTTAAGCAAAAAATATACAACATGGGGTTCCCCCTTCACATCAGGAGCTCCCCTTTCACATGAGAGTCCCCGGTTCACATGAGGATCTCCCTGGGTTCACATCGGTGTCCTCAGTCACCCCCTTCACATCAGAGTCCTACCTCACAATCTGCAGTACGCAGCATGACAAAGGGTGGGAGGTGGAACCGGTCTGGACAAAGGCAGACTTCCCTCTTCTTCTAAATTTGATGGAGCTCCTGGATGTTGCCCGCTCTGTATGAGCATCATGCGTTTCCATGGTGCTGGTGACTGGCCCATCTGCTCCATGGAAATGCATAACACTGTGCAATTAAAGGCACCCTAATTAAGCCAGTTGGCACCCCAGGGCACCATGGCATCCGTGCTGCATTAGGCAATACCTATACGCCTCTATATGAAGTTCAGCATGAAATGTATTCCTGGCCATCACCTGTGTGCTGAAAATGTTTCATCTTGTAGATAAGTCAATGATTTATTCCGTGTTACCGGCAGCGCTATGTATAATACATGTGATATCAGAGGGGGAATGTTTGTTTCTCTGAAGGAACTGAAAAACCTTACAAATTGCTCAGCACTTTTGTTTAGGGAGTTTTCTAAACACTTCTACTTCAGCATTTCAGATTACTAAACCTGAGCCAAGCTGACATCGAGCCAGAGCCAGAACGTGTCATGATAATGGAAATGTTACTTTTTACTTTATGAATGCTATAATAGGAAACTGACCTAAAGCTGAACTATTTTTTAAATGCAAGCATCGTAAATACCTGCATTTGGCTTGATATCAATGTCCCTGCATTTGGCTTGATATCAATGTCCCTGCATTTGGCTTGATATCAATGTCCCTGCATTTGGCTTGATATCAATTTTCCTTCATTTGGCTTGATATCAATGCTCCTGCATTTGACTTGATATCAATGTTCCTGCATTTGGCTTGATATCAAGGTACCTGCATTTGACTTGATAGCAATGTTCCTGCATTTGGCTTGATATCAATGTTCCTGCATTTGGCTTGAAATCAATGTCCCTGCATTTGACTTGAAATGAATGTCCCTGCATTTGACTTGATATCAATGCTCCTGCATTTGACTCAATATCAATGTACCTGCATTTGGCTTGATATCAATGTACCTGCATTTGGCTATATATCAATGTACCTGCCTTTGGCTTGATATCAATGTCCCTGCATTTGACCTGATATCAATGTTCCTGCATTTGGCTTGATATCAATATCCTGCATTTGACTTGATATCAATGATCCTGCATTTGGCTTGATATCAGAGTTCCTGCATTTGGCTTGATATCAATGTTCCTGCATTTGACTTGATATCAATGTACCTGCATTTGACTTGATATCAATGTACCTGCATTTGGCTTGATATCAATGCTCCTGCATTTGACTTGATAGCAATGTCCCTGCATTTGGCTTGATATCAATGTCCCTGCATTTGGCTATATATCAATATCCTGCATTTGACCTGATATCAATGTCCCTGCGTTTGGCTTGATATCAATGATCCTGCATTTGGCTTGATATCAATGTACCTGCATTTGACTTGATATCAATGTGCCTGCATTTGGCTTGATATCAATGTTCCTGCATTTGGCTATATATCAATGATCCTGCATTTGAGTTGATATCAATGTTCCTGCATTTGGCTTGATATCAATGTACCTGCATTTGGCTTGATATCAATGTTCCTGCATTTGACTTGATATCAATGTACCTGCATTTGACTCAATATCAATGTCCCTGCATTTGGCTTGATATCAATGTTCCTGCATTTGGCTATATATCAATGATCCTGCATTTGACTTGATATCAATGTACCTGCATTTGGCTTGATATCAATGTTCCTGCATTTGGCTTGATATCAATGTACCTGCATTTGACTCAATATCAATGTCCCTGCATTTGGCTTGATATCAATGTTCCTGCATTTGGCTATATATCAATGATCCTGCATTTGAGTTGATATCAATGTACCTGCATTTGGCTTGATATCAATGTACCTGCATTTGGCTATATATCAATGTACCTGCATTTGACTTGATATCAATGTTACTGCATATGACTTGATATCAATGTACCTGCATTTGACTTGATATCAATGTTCCTGCATTTGACCTGATATCAATGTTCCTGCATTTGACCTGATATCAATGTTCCTGCATTTGGCTTGATATCAATGTCCCTGCATTTGGCTTGATATCAATGTCCCTGCATTTGACTTTATATCAATGTTACTGCATTTGACCTGATATCAATGTACCTGCATTTGGCTTGATATCAATGTCCCTGCATTTGACCTGATATCAATGTTCCTGCATTTGGCTTGATATCAATATCCTGCATTTGACCTGATATCAATGTCCCTGCATTTGGCTTGATATCAATGATCCTGCATTTGGCTTGATATCAGTGTTCCTGCATTTGACTTGATATCAATGTACCTGCATTTGACTTGATATCAATGTTCCTGCATTTGGCTTGATATCAATGTCCCTGCATTTGACCTGATATCAATGTTCCTGCATTTGGCTTGATATCAATGTCCCTGCATTTGACCTGATATCAATGTTCCTGCATTTGGCTTGATATCAATATCCTGCATTTGACCTGATATCAATGTCCCTGCATTTGGCTTGATATCAATGATCCTGCATTTGGCTTGATATCAGTGTTCCTGCATTTGACTTGATATCAATACATTGCTATTAATATCAAGTCAACTTCAGGTAGTTATACTGCCTGCATTTAAAAACTATTTTTAATAATGCCTTTTGAATCAGCTTTTATACAGCAGCCTTCAGAGAGGTGGAGGAGCCAGTCAGTTGTCTTGTAGTATTCATGTTCTAACATGAATCAAGTTGATAGGAGGAGATTGCAGAGTGACAGAGTTGAACTCATCAGACTGCTGCTTCTCCTTTCACTGTGCAGTCATTGGCTAGGGGAAGGACAAGACCTGTATGTTTTACTTAACTGCAACAGAGAAAATTCAGGTCTGTGCTGTGTGACAGAGCTGAATAAATCTAGCACTGGATGGACAGAATTACAATGCCATTGGCAGGGTAAACAGCATCTGTGTATTTAGCTGTGTGCCTGAAATTTAGATTTTGCTCTTGTTAAGGAGGAATAGTGATTGAAGTGCCCGGGTAAGGCATGTTGGGCAAATCTGAAGCTGTGCGTTTGTTGCTTGCTCTTAAGGCCATCTCCTACTGAAGCTAACTATGGGGGCAAATAAAAATCTTTCATAGGAAAGCTGGTAAAGTTAGGATGGAAGACCGTTTACCCAGATACTTGCAAAAGCCCAGATGTGACTGGTTCTTTTTAAATATTATTATTTTATCCAGTTTAGTACAACACAGGCAATCTGCATCCAGTTGGGATTCACATATGTCTATGATTAAACAGGATGGTGTGAATCATATGAATATGGCTGATATGATCATATTTAATGAATTGCATATGTCCTCAATCCACCTCAATGCAAACCTGCTTCCTTGTAAACAAAATCAGCAGCCGCATCCCGGTGATTCCTTGTTTACTGGAAGACAGTCATAATGTCCATGTTCTGAAAAAGAACTCTTTAGAACATCAAATGCAAAAACTAAAAAAATCATTATTAAGGTCACCCTGTAATCCAGGATTTCACCAGTATGAGGAAATACAGGTGAGCTCTATAATAGCATTTGACCAGAATGGAGGTGAACATGGTGCAGTAGCTTTCTACAATGCCATGTTGGAGACCAGGGCAGATACCGTCTATCATCATCATTATTTTTGGATGGTTTTAGTTTTTTCTCGTTCCTATGTATCTACTCCCTATGGTGACTTCTGCATCCATTGTGATGTACCAACAGGTTACTCTTACTAATACAAGTCCAGACCTTAGTGTTGGCAATATGAAAAGGCTAATAATTTGAAGCTATGTGGTCCAGGACCTTTCATCTCTTCCACTGTCACCTTTATTTGATAACAACAAGCTATCTAGATACTTACCTACGGTTATGTCCCCTTTGATTTCATGAAGGTGAACACTGATGGATAAACATCTGGGTAGGTGGATCGATCCCTGAACCTCAGTAGATCTTAAGGCTGTTGTCTTTCTTCACATCATATCTACTGTTGGTCCCTCCCTCTGGGCAATTGGATCTATGTGCACTAAGCGAAACATACAGTATATACCATGGGTAGGCAACTTCAGCTGTGGTGAAACTCCAAATATTATCATGCATCTGCCTCTGGGAGTCATGTCTGTGGGTGTCAGAGCCTTGCAATGCCTAATGAGATTTTTAGTTGCACTTCAGCTGGAGGGACAGAGTTTGCCAACCCCAGTATATACCTTTAGCCCACCTACTATCCACATTCTCCTGAAGAAGGGGGAGTTGTTTGTCCCACTGCTGACAAATACAACTGTACATATCTTCTTTTCTATAGATATGTGATTCTTGTACTCAGTGCTGTCCCTAGACTGGGGGGAGGGGGGCATGTGCTGGTGGTGCTTGTTACTGGGGATGGGTGGTGGTAGTGGGTGATGGATGGGTGAAGGAGGTTGCTGGTGGTGCACGCTACCTCTGACTCCGGCTCTGTCCGGCACCCTGCCCAGCTTACTGACATCACTGGTTGCCAGGAGCTGGGCGGGACGCCAGTCAGAGCACACCGGCCGTTCCCCCCACGTGAACCCAAGAGAGGCTGCCTTAGGCAACCACCTCAGGCTGCCTTATTATAGGTACAACCCTGCTTGTACTTGTCAATGGTGAGGCTGTTGTGGAGGCATCACAAAGAAATGTTGTACCAGCCTTGGCATGAAACTTTTATATTCTAATTTTAACAGGATTAATCAATGAACTATTGAGTTTATCCATAAATTGTGATGTGTCTGTGATAAGATAAAGGTGCCCTCATAAATTCCCGAAAATCTCTTTTCTCTGTATTTGATTAAATTGGCAGGATTGTTGGTACCACCTCCAACCGGGGAAGAATGTTCATGAATACCATGCATAATTTTTCAAGTTTTAGGAGTAGTGTGTCTGTCTGTGGAAAGTCTATCACAGCACCATTCCCAACCCAATTTCCTGAATATTGGGAATGGTAGCATTGATATGTAGCTGTTGTCTCTAGCTGTCTCATGTTCCCAGTCTCTGGCAGATTGTCTCCAGTCTCTAGAATGTCCCCAGTTTTCGACCATCTCCTGCAGCATTACATATAAAAATATTATATGTACCCCTTTAATTATTATGTTAGTCACGGCTGGTTCAAAGAATGTGTTCAGTAAAGACAGTAGGTGTAAATGGGCTCTTAGCAGTTGTTTACTTGCATTGGGATTTAAAGAAATCCTCATTATGTATTAAACAATTACCACTTAGCTTACATGTTGGTGAAATTATTGGTTTTGTTGATCCTTCAACCTGCTTTTCTTCTGCAGGGGTTTCCAGGAAAGGATGGCACATCCGGACCCCCTGGACCGCCTGGATCAATGGTAACATTTCCTCTATTTTATTACTCAGGAATTTGCAAAGTGAATTATGTTGTGTTAGCAATGCGATATTCTGCATCACGCCATGTTTGGCCTTCAGCTAAAGCTAAAATATGTTTTATATTTTATATGTTTTATATTGGCATGCTGTATTCTACTACAGACAGTTAAATATAATCCCGTGGAAGTTGCCTACCACTTCATTCTCTTATTTTGAGTTCTCAGTGTACAGTGGCGTAACAACCGGGGGGGCAGGGGGGGGGACTTGCCCCGGGCGCAGGACTGAGGGGGG